TCACTTGTTCAATTTTTTTTTGATAAAACTTACATTCCAGCAGACTGGCTAGAGTCACACAGTTGAGCGAAATGCGCAGTTTCTCTGCATTGAGTTGCTGCCCCGGCTTGATTGGTATATCCATTGAAGGGGTCTTGATATTTGAGGAGGCCAACATTAGAATTTCGCGAAGGCGCGGTATACCCAGAGTGACGTTCATTTCACCACGGCCAGCAAAATGGAAAGTATTCAATGTCATCTGGGTGGACGGCTCGCCAATCGACTGAGCTGCAATCAGACCCACCGGTTCGCCTGGCGACGCTAGCGCCTTTATGGTCTTCATGTGCATAATGTCAGAAATGATATGCTTTTGTTTTGGATGCTTGGTTGCATACTCGTCGATTAACTGACGCGTGCGCTCCGAAACTGATCCATAGTAATTGTCTTGTTTGTAAACGGCAACTGTAGGATCGGGACAGCGTGCATACTTCTTGCGATACAGAGCCTTGTCTTCAGGATCCGCCTTCTTCCACAGTTTAAGCAGCCCTTCGTCAAACCGCCTGCGTCCCGTCTTGGTATTTATCTCATTCGGTCGGTCAACTTCCACATCGTTACGAAGCTCCTTCGAAAAGTGAGTGAATGCCGCATACAATTTGGCTGGCTTCTTCTTCTGCCAGCTTCTAATGTGCTTCTCGTGCCGCTTCACTTTGGCGAGGCACTCTTCATCCTTCATCAGCTGCAGCTGGCTGGGCCGCAACACGGCCTTAGCGTTTTGTGTAAGGAAGTCAGCGCAGAACTCTCCGTTAAAGAACTTGGCCTTTAGTATGTCCAAACCATCCTCGCCGTATAGAAACTGCACCACACTGTTGTCACTATCGCGCACAGTCAGATCATAATGTACGCTCAACCCCTCCAGGTGCTTGATTAAACAGCGCTGCAGATAACCGGAACGGGATGTTTTCACAGCTGTATCGATGAGACCCTGTTTTTGAAGAGAATGATGTGTTATTGAACAAGCTCTCATATCAAAATTATAAACTTACTTCACGACCAGCCATGCAGTGAAAGAAAAAGTCCTGCGGCTGTATTCCTGTCATAAAGCGGCCATCAATAAATCCGCCCGATTTCGGCGATGTCTCAAATGAGGTAAAACTGGGCAGAGATTTGCCAGAAATCATCAACGGAGGTCGTTTACCTTCCAACTCTATTTGACCTAGCAGGCAAGAGATTTGCATGGTGTTAACCATTGATCCTTTCGCGCCCGATAGAACCATCAGTTGCAGATTGTTTGATGGAAACTTGCTGATGAGCCCTCCAGGCAGACAAGCTCTAAAAAATTAAACAAAATATGATAGCTTTGGTATATATATATGGTAGATTGCCAACTCACTTGTTAATGTCATTTGTGTAGCCATCTAACATAGATTTGTATTTGCGATCGAGCAGAACTCGGAATTTCGCATCCTTGACATATGCAGCCTCCATTTGTTCGGCCAGCTCATCGTGCGGCGGCACATCGTCCAACTCCAGGGCAGCAGCAACAGCGCTATTGCCCACATCGCGGCACTCGTTGATGATCTTGCGACGCTTGCGATCAGCCTCTTCAGTTACCAAAATATCTTTGACGCCCAACGTGAAGCCCTCGAGCTGCAGGAAGAAGGTGAACACCTTTGTGAAGGCGGTGAGCAGACGCGTGGACACGTCACCGCCATACAGCTCGTACATGCAGTGGATCAGACCAAATGTGGTAGCGCCATACTGCTGCTTGTCGAGCACGCCCACAAGAAGTTCGCCGTTTCGAATTTGCACTTGACTCTCACTTAACTCTTGCTCCTGCGGAGTGGAGCCACACAAAGGCCTTCGCGACCTGGCCACCTTCCAGTTCTGCAAGAAGTAAATGGGTTTGTAAATTGGTTATGAGATACTCTGAGCTACCATAACTTACCTTGCCGCCGATTTTGGCAAAGGAATCCAAGTTGATGCGCTCATATCCATCCGGTATCAGATTAATGATTATGGTTGAAAGCACTTGCTTTCCAGACCACAATACGGCAGGCTTCAATATAGCCGGTGGCAGTAACTTGACATCGCCCTTAACATGCGACAGGCCCTGGAAGACCAACTGCTGATAATCTTCACGGTTGAAGAAGCGACCGCGTATGGACAGTTTCACGCCTGAAATAACCTGATCCTGAATAAGGCCTCCTAGTGGAGTGCCGTCCTTGGGCACCAGGTAGTTGCTGGCCACGTTCACAAGGTTGTAGGCTTCAGCGCGGGCTACTTCGCTTTGGGGATAGTGCGCATTCATCTCGTCACCATCGAAATCAGCATTGTAGGCCTTACAATTGGAGTAGTGAAGGCGAAAAGTCTTCTCGCCATGCAATATGCGGGCCTTATGCGCCATAATTGATGGCTTGTGCAGCGAAGGCTGACGATTGAGCAGCAGCACGTCACCATTTAGGACGTGGCGATGGACAATCTTCACGCCATCCTTGGGATTAGACAGCAACAGTTTAGCCATGCTGGCGCGCTTTGCCGCATTGTCGGCGGGTATGTAGGTGGTCAAGCCCTTGCTGTCTTGTATGTAGTTGGCGCCCGGATGAACATCTGGTCCATTCATCACCATTTTGCGCAACTCAATAACATTCCATTCGGTAACCGGCACCGGATAGGAGAGCTTACGCGCAAATATGTCCGGTATACCGATCTCATCCACATCGATATTTGGATCGGGCGTGATGACGGTACGTGCGGCGTAATTGACGCGCTTACCCATCATATGCTTACGTATGAGACCCTCCTTCTTTTCTAGCACTTGCTTAAGGCCCTCGGCGGACTTGATGTCGCGCGACATGTTGACGTCGAGCAACACATCCACCGAGCTCTGCAACGAAAGCCATGCATTATAGAGCTTCTCGTGATCGTTAGCGCCGCGCATGTTTTGATAGGCTGCTTTAGCTTCGGCACTCAATTTGTCCTGCTGTCCCTTCATAAACTTGAGAATCACATTGAGGACATGATTGTTCTGGATTATGTTTACATAGATGCTCGTCTGCGGATTCCCCTTTAACATGTCGTTAATGACGTTCATTGGACGGACACGCGGCGGTGTAACTGGTATCGTATCCATGAAAAATATGTCAACGGGCGAGTAATCATCACTGGGGCTTGAGTCGCTCCTGTTCAGGTTTAGCACCGGTACGAGCAGCTTAAGCAATTCCGGATAGTTTTCATAGATCTTTCGCAGATAGCGACGGCATTCATCCGCAAATATAACCTTGTTCTGGCCACTGCTCTCGGGCACATCGCCTATCCTGTGATATGAAAAGAATCGAATTATACAATGTCTACCAATTAGTAATTACAACCACCAACTCACCGCTCCTTCATATCAGCAATAGTCACATAGTAGACAAGACGGCGATGCAAATAGCGCACAAAGCGCATGGACTTGTTGCAGTGCCGGCACTTTTTGCTGGAGCCACGTTGCAGAGCAGCATGCGTAATGGCTGTGCGCAGGGAGCAGCTTGTTTTGGTAGTATTGGTGGCATTGCTCACATTCTTGGCCAACAGCTCCTTGACCGCTGCGATGCGCGGATGTACGGCATCGCCGTTGTCCAGTTTCACCATCTCATCTGTGTTTTGGCAAACAACTTCTGATTTAAATAGTTCCAGTTCTTGCGCTTCAATAATATAGCCAGCGTCAATCAGCCGCAACTGAAGCATGATAATCTCGCTTTCATGATCTAGGGAAATCAAATTAGTAAATCCATTTTACTACTCCCTTACCACTCACCTCTCATTTGCAGCTTGTGACAGTGCAGACAGAAGATGCATAATAAACGCTGCACCAGTTTAATGAAGAACGGATTGTAAACCAGTGAGCCCAGTTCAATGTGACCCATGTGGCCGGGACAATCTTGCATTTTTAAACATGTGCCGCAGGGATCCATGCAGCGGCCATAGGAGCCCAATCGTATGTCGTATAGGCCACCGGGTATTGGATGTCCCAGTCCATCGAATAGGAGGCCAGTGATTATTTTAACCACGCTCAATTTCCGTATCTCCTCGGGTGTGAACACAGCGAACTCCAGGTCCGAAGGAAACATGTGCACTTCTGGCGGTCTTCTTGCACCCATTTTAAGGCAGTTTTCTCTTAAATTTACAGAAAATAGATTCCTTCAACCAGCAGCGTTCAGCACGTGTATTTGAAGACAACACCGAGTGTAGCGATGAAAGTAACGAACACATCGATACGACACTGTTTCGATATATCGATACAAATAATAGTCAAAACAAAGACTCATCAGCAAGACGGGGCTGTTATGCACAGCAAGTGCGCGCCAATTTAAAATCGAAATTGC